TATTTTAAAATGAGTGCTTCTTTGAGTGATTGAATGAGTCTAACTCCAAAAGCTAAACTCTCTCTTCTAATACCTAAGGACAGTCACCCAGGGACTGTGATGGTGACACAGAGAACAGTCCTCAAAGTGGAACTAAAGTCCTTGCCTTTAGAGCTCAAAGTGAACATAGAGGGTACCTAGTCCAAACCCCTCTTTTACACATGGAGGAACTGAGATTTGACATGTCACCTAGACAACAATAGCAGAGACGAATTTGAACCCAAGGCTTCACACTTCATGACTAATGTCTTTTCCTTTTTTCTCATAGAACTACTTTCAGAAATTTCTCTCAATAAATTCATCATCTGTTCTAGTCCTTTGAATCAAAACTAAATGAACTTCTCTGTGATAAGGTTAGTGAAGAAAGACTCAGATGACGCACAGGGAGGAAACCTGAAAGAGCAGGGGATGTAATAATGGAAATGTCTATATCACTTCAAGGTATACCAAGTATTTTTTTCCAGCAAGCTTAGGAAGTCAGCGAGGGAATTGGTTTTATTCTTCTTTCACCCAATGAAATGATACTAGTGTTACTAATATAACAGCACAGATATAAAGATCATGGAAAGAATGGGTAGTGCTTTCCTCTCATGAGAAATGAATAAAGATTTGGAAGATGATTCTGAGAAACAACTGAATATACTTCGCCAAGAGTTACAGGGGTTGAAATGACTCACATTGCTGTCTTAAATAACATTTTTATAGTCAGTATCTTGGAAGGGATGGAACACTTGAGGAGGATATAGAGTCAGCAAAGGGCCCAGGCAGCTTCTTGAGCAATCAGAGGAAGACTCCCACGGGATGGTCCCACTGGATCAGGGCTGCATGAACCCACCAAAGGGAATAGAGGTTGCTTGCACTAATACATATAATACTTATACGTACTTAAGAAAGATAGATTGGGAGACTGAGGCTGGTTGAATCATATGTCAAAAGTTACAAAATTTTAGAGTTTAGAATGAATCTCAGAGGCCATTTAGTTGAACCTTCATCCTAAATGGAATAACTTATACAACATTCCCAAGAAATAATTCTCCAATCTTTGCTTGAAGACCTTCAAGTCAGTAAAAGAATATTATCTACCTTCCAAAGCAGCCCATTCTACCTGTGAACAGCTGCACTTGTTACAAAGTCATTTGGGTGTTGGTTTGGTTTAGTCTGGTTTGGGGAAGTTTTTTCTCCACTCATATTAAATTGAATTCTGTCTCTCTTAAATAGATATCATTTCATTGATCCTTTCTTAGCACCCTGGGGGGCCAAGCAAAAAAAATCTAATCCTCCTTCCACATGACAGCCATTCAAATATTTGAAGGCAGAAATGACACCCACCAAATCAAATCTTTTCATCATTATGTTAAACACCCCAGTTCCTTCAACTGATTCTCAGGTGACTTACAGTCCCAATTGCCCTCCTCTGAAGGCTTGTCTCTGGCTTGTCCTCTGGCTTGCTAATTCCAGGGGTGCTGGGAAACTTACATGAGATGATGGATGCACCTTGGACTTTGTAAACCTTAAAGCTCTATGCAAGTGTCAGGTTGTTGTGGTTGTGGTGGTTGTCATCCTACAGTTAACAGGCCTCCAGAGCCATGATGACTTCCCTCTCTGAAGCTTCTACTGCACTCCTGTTGAGCCCATGTTTATAGAGTAATAGAGCAGTGCACTGGTATATGCATTACAACCTGACTCTCCAGAAACAAAAAAAAAAAAAACCCAACACACATTTTTAAGTTAAATCTGCATTCCTGACACTATCTTCAGTCTAGACAATAAAAACAAAACAAAACAATGAATAAAAGCCTGATTTATAGTGACTGGGAGGGGCAGCCAGGTTGCACAGTGGATAGAGCTCTGGCCTTGGAGTCAGGAGGACCTGAGCTCAAATCTTGTCTCAGACACTTGATACTTACTAGCTGTGTGACCCTGGGCAAGTCACTTAACCCCGATCACCTCACCAAAAAGCGAAATAACAATAACAATAATAATAATACTAATATAGTGACTGGGAATTTCTGAAGTGTAAATGCTCACAATAAAAATTTAACAATCAGCTCTCAATTACTGACTCCAGCACAACCCTGGCCAGTTGCCTTCCTAATACATAACCACCAGAACTAAACACAAGGCTCCAGGTATGGTCTGACCAGTACAATATATACAGGCTCTCATTCTGGATTTTATACATCTCAACACAACTTAGAATAACAACAGTTTTGGGAGGCCCCTGTGATGATGTTGACTCATACTGAACCAACTGTCCACTCAGATCCACATATTTTTTTTAAAATTTCTTACTGGATAAAAGAAAGCACGAAATGAGATATGGAGGAGTATAACCAAAACAAAGCCAGGAGAGGCTGGTAGGATGGAATGAGTAAAGGTATGGAAAGTAAAATGTTGAGGCTTGGTTCTTTCTCCTAATTGTTCATTGGAATCATTTTGCAAACTCTTATTCCTTCCCCACACGGAAGAAAACTTCACTGTTATCTTTAGCTTTTGTATCTGAGAGGTTCCATTGTATTTCTTCGGAGTCCATTTCTTCTGGGGAGAGAATGATAAACAGAGCTCCCTCATAGTCACCACAGGCTTGCTGATGGAAATCTTAGTTATACTTCCTTTGTTCTTGCATGTTTTCCACCTACCTTTCATCTTTGTCTCTCTTCTATATCAGTATCATAAGAAAGGCCATTTCCTTTTATTGAAAGGAATGAAGTGGTTGATGAGCTTTTTGAGAAATATTCCTGGGAATAATTCTATATAAAGTGCTAGATGAAGTTAGGAAGACTGAAATTCAAATCCTCCCTCAGATACTTATTAGCTCTATTTTCCGAGAAAATCTCTTAACTTGTCAACTTCAGTTAGCTCATCTATACAATAGGGATAATTATAACTGCCTATCTTTTGGCGTTCTTGTGAGGATTAAATGAGATAATATCTGCAAAATGCTTTGTAAATCTTAAAGTGATATATAAATGCTTATTATTATTATTAATTATTATTACTGAAGACAAGCAGTAGTTATAAAGAGGAAAATGACCTCATCAAAAAATATCCACGCTAACTGAAACCCATTTGCTTTTTTGATGCGGTTACTAAATTGGAAGATAAGAACAACACTGTAGATATAGATTACCTGGGTTTGGAGAAAACATTTGATAAAATGATTTACAATTTTATTGTTGGTATGTACAAGGGGTGGGGAACCTACAGCCTTGAGGCCACATGCGGCCCTCCAGATCCTCAAGTGTGGCCCTTAAGGGGGTCACGTGTGGCCTCAAGGCCACAGGTTTCCCCTCCCTTGGTATATATAGAGAGATTTGACTAGACAATAAGGCAAGCAGATGGTCTCAGAACTGGTTGAATATCTGACTTCACAGAAGAGTTGTTAATAAATCAATGTCAATATGAAAGAGATAGCAGTGAGGAATCCCAAGGATGTGTTTCTGGCCCTATGCTGTCTAATATTTTTATCAATGACTTGGATAAAGGCACAGATATTACACTCATCACATTTAAAGATACATAAAGCTAATACATTGGATAACAGAGTTGGGATTCAAAGAGCTCTTGATAGGTTAGAATATGGGGTTGAGTCTAATGAGATGAAATTCAATAGGAATAAATGGAGAGACTTACACAGGAGTTCAAGAAATCAATTTCCCAAGTACAGAATGCAAGGGACGTTTTAGAAAACACCTTGGGTTGTTTTGCTTTCTTATTGTTTTTGTATTTAATGTTCAAGGGATTTTACTGTACTGAAAACTCAATATGAATCAGCAATGTGATATGACAGCAAAAAGTTGATATGAGCTTGGGCTGCATGAAGAAAACATAGCTTATGGAAGTAAGGACATGATAAGCCCTTTGTCCTCTTCCCTAGTCATACCACATGTGAAGAATTGGAACAATCTAAGAAAGACATTGATTATTTGGAGCATGTCCAGAGGATGGCAATAAGGATAGTGAAGGGCCTTGAGTACATGCCATATGAGGGTCACTTAAAGGCATTCAGGATGTCAATCCAGGACCAGTAAAGACTCTCAGGAAACATAAGCACTGTTTTCCAGTGTTGGAAGGTCTTTCATATGAAAGAAAGGTCAGTCTTGTTCAGCTGCTTGGTCCCAGAAGGCAAATCCAGGGGAGTTGGCTGTAAGTTCAAAAGGCTATATGGCATAAAGGAGAGAGTTCTGGGCTTGACTGAGTATCTGCATAATGCTGGTCAAATCATTTAATGTTTCTGAGCCTCAGTTTTCTGCTCTGCAAAAAGAAAGTGTTGAACTAAATAACCTATGAGGTCCCTTCCAGAAGCTCTATATCTCTGATCCTTTAACTCTGCAATCCAAAAGGCAAATATAGGCTTGATACTGGAAGCAGGGGTGAAGTGGTCAACTCCTTAACATTTCCAGATATTCAAAACTGGAATGGGCAGCCCTAGATCAGGGTTCCTCTTCATTGGAGATGCTCCAGCAAAGACTGGATATCTACTTGTATGTTATAAAGATGATTCCTTTCATGTGTGTGTTGGCTGGGATGGCTATGGAGTTCCCTTCCCATTCTAATTATGATTCTTTCTTAATGTTATTGTGCTATTATGAGTAGTGGCATGATAAATAGCTTAAAATAAATTCCTTGATTTTTTTTGAGATACCTAAGTCACATGAGGCAACATTGTGTGACAGGTAGTAGTCAAGAAAACCTGGGTTCAATTCCTGACTCATATACTTACTAGTTCTGGGACCCTGGGCCAGTGACTTACCTTCTATAGGCCTCAGTTTCCTCAACTGTAAAAGGAGGGGGTTATGTGCTCTAAAATTTCTTCCAACTCTAAATCTGTAATCCTGTGACTGTTTTCTTTTACTTAAATTAGGTGGAAAGCCAGAGAGAAATGTGTTGGCTGCATGTATGTGATCTGTTTTCCCCGTCATCCCTCTTATCTCCCCTCCTCGCCCTTTTCCTTCTCTCACCTGTCTACGCAGGTCTCTGGTCTTTTTGCACATGTTATCTATTGCGATATTCAGGGCATTGCTCCTTTCCTTTTTCCCAGCCTGTAAGAAAACATAAGATGAAAAACTGTCATCAGAAACCGAATCTAATTACTACCTTGTTGTTAGCAATTTTCCTTCCCTCATCCCTGCCCAACCCCCATCTCTAGCAAATAACAGCTTGGCATTTCAACCTACTAACATGTTGCATAAGATATATGAACATCTTGCTTAAAAGAAGTAGAATGATGATTAATGGCCACATTGGTCTGTCCTTTGAGAGGCCATGGCATGGCTGCAACAGTGCCAGGGTCCATTCAGCGAGGCATCATACCAAGCAGACTCTGTAGAGAATGCTATTCCACAGCTCCCAGCATGCCAGCTTGTTACCCGCTAAGCCGAGCAATTAGCTTAAAAGCACTAGAGGCCCAATTTGTCACCTTCTGTGGGAGTTTCTGAAAGGAGGAATTTTAATCGGGCATTGCGCAATGGATGGCGAGACATATCGGAGCTTTGTTGAACACCCAAGTAAAATATGCAATATGAACCTTGACCACAGATGTGACTGACAAGATTCCAAGAACAGATTGTTACCAGGGACAACATAAAGCAGTCTGTGGGCTTCTCCAGACAACCTGAAGGCCACCTTTCCCCTCTGCTTCTGTGGCAACAGGTCTCAACAAGGATTTTTAAGGACTGAGTTTGAATTCTGACTTTGCCATTTGCTACCTAAGGGACCCTGGACAAAAATTCCTTGCTCTGTGTCATACCTCATCTGAAAAAAAAATGAAGGAATTTTATGGCATGGCTTTGGAAGCACCTTTCTATTCTAGATCCAAATGAAGCCCAAAATCATTAAGTAGGAGTCTAAAATGTGCTAGGTACCATTCTAAAAGTTCAGGAAACAAATAGAAAAAAAAATGAAAATAGGTCCTGCCCATTCTAATGGAATGGAAAGGGAGGGGGCATTGTTCTAGCCCTTCATATGGACTATAGTTATCTGGGGATCAGGAGGGAGGAGTCCCCCACAATCTGGAAAATCTGTATAAAACGTTTTGGCCTCCTTTCGTGCCAAAGAAGTCTGAATTATTATAGTATTAAAAGATAAAATATGTTGATCTTATGCACTACTATACATATACTTTTTGCACTTCTAAGTTTCTAAACTTCTTTGGCTTCGTCTGCTGGCCTTTGTGTGTCTTCTGAAGCTTCTGCTCCCAAAATTCCCATTTAATTTCTTATGTCAACCCATATCTCGAAACTCTGATGGGGAAAGTCATGATGTGAAAGGGATAACTGTATTTGTGCCCGACCTGTGGTAGAGTTTTCTGAGCTCATAATGGTCTGATCAGCCACTGCCAGATACACTCTACTTTGACCCCAATGTAGTGATGTCATTTTGGTACTATTTGCCTACAAACACTGACTGATTTCTAGTCTCTTCAGTCTCTAAATGTTTGACGATACCCCCTCCAATCAGGGGTTTGTTAGTTTGCTTGTTGCTTTCTCTCATTTTGTTATTAACTTAAATCCTGAAACATGAAAAGGGAGAATGATCTTGGTCGGTAATGTGTGTGTGTGTGTGCGCGTGTGTGTTTAAGTTTTCTGGGCAAATACTGATTTGAAACTGAGTCTTTTTTCTGGTGATGTTTAGCACAAAAGAGATGGAAATGACCATTATGTGATTCACTTCTTTGAAAATGACTGCTCTTTAAATTAACAAGCTGAGAATGGTCTTTGGGAGGAGACCTTGAAAGTAAGAAAGAGAAATTTAAGGAGCCAATGACTGTAGGAATTGGCCATTGAGAGAGCATCTACTTTTTTCAGGGAACAGGGAACATTCATTTTGGGCTCTCAGAAAAGATTTTTTTTTCTGAAAGGCTTCTTAGAGATCATATAGTCTAATCCCCTTATTTTACACATGTAGAAACTGAGGTTAGAGAGGTGAGGAGATTTGCTTAAGTTCACACAGGCAGAGTGGAGTCAGGATTTGAATCCAGTTTCTATGATGGCAAAGCTAATGGTCTATCCATGATACCACTGGGTTGGAGTAGAAAGCCTAAGGTCAATTTCCATCTCTTACTAGGAGCAGTGGTTTTAAAGGGTCTTCAGAGGCAATCCAGTCTACCCTTCTCATTAACAGATGAGTACATATAGAGAGAATCAGAAAGAGTGATCACCTAAGGTTACACAGATCATAAGGACCAAAGCTAGGATTTGAACCTAGGTTCTCTAACTCCAAGTTGATTTCTCTTTTTGTTATATCACTTGTAATAAATGACTCGATTTTTCAACTGATTTCAGCTCCCTATCTCAGTTTTATCATCTGTTATATGAGGGGGGTGGTGCGAGAGATGACATTCATGGGTCTCTAGCTCAAAATTCTGTGGAAGAAGGACAAAAAAGC